CAAAAGTTAGGTTTCTTTAAAAGAAACAAATCAGGAGATCTGTCAAAATTGCTTTATGTTCACAAGCATTTTCCAACAACAGCCTCAGTCTCTAGTGTGGAACATGTGGCTTCAAGAGTCATTTAAAATTCTGCTAAATCATTCTGTGACTCTCTAACCAATACTAATAGCTTTTAAGGTGTCTGGATATTTCTCTTCAATATTAAGCCTTGCACTGACTTTAGTAACCATTTGTTTGTATGTGTTTGTGTGCACATGCGTGAAAATGAGAGAGTATCATATATTTCATTTAGTGCTCTGGTTGGCTTTCCCTGGAAGATAAAATAGTCACTTGTGATTTCTTGAGAGAGAGAAAAGGGATTCATTTAGAAGAGAAAAAGCCCATAAAGATGAAAATTTCTACCCTGACTTCATTTTCTGTTTTAAACAGTAAATTGTTCTGTCATTGCATGATAATTGGTAAATATACTGAAATGGGTTATTAGAGTTAAAATAGACTCTCTGGGTATACAATAACTATATTTTATAATGTATCCTTTAGGTATGATTGCTAATTACATTTCTGTCTGGGAGAAATAGGTATTATACTTGGAAGTAGGAGTCTTCTGATGGTGAGGGTGGCTCCACAGATTCTGTATGCCACCAAATATACAATTTAAATACAACAGCAGGGGTTTGTGGCAAAATTGAACATATGATATATTCATCAGACTATTAATGTTCTGAAACTGCATAAAATGTCATTTGGTGGAGAAGAGACACATGCCATAGATAACATACACACAAAATAACTATGCTCAGTTAAAATGAAGAGTCTGGTTTGTTCTAACAAGTTAACATGTAGAAGAGCTGTAGGGACAAGTTCAGTGAGAGGAGTGTAACTCTAAGGTAACTTCACTCAAGTTGACAAAATTACTCCGTATTTACACCAGTGTGGTGCAGAAGCTGACTATAGTTAGTAAATTATATCATAGGTTTCCAACTTAATGTAATGAACCTTATTCTGATCTGATCGCCACATAAAATTTGCAGGCACTGCTCCCCAGTGAGGTTGCAATGGAGTGAAAAATAGTTTAAATGAGATCAGAACAAGGCTGAGTTGCTGTGTTATTGGGGACTGAAATACATGGATGAATCTCCTGTTCTCTGCCTATGCCACACTACAGTTTAGTCTCCTGAGGCCTGGAATGTTTGGGTATGTCTAGACTGCATCCATCTGTCGGCAGAGAGATGCAGATTAGGCAGCTCAACATTGCAAATGAGGCAGGGATTTAAATATCCCGTGCCTAATTTGCATAAAAATGGCCGCCGTGCTTTGCTGACTCAGCACTTTGCAGGCAAAAAGCAGTAGTCTAGAGGGGGATCTGTCGAGAAAGAAAGCCTTTTTCACCAGATCCCTTATGCCTCCTGCCTAATCTGCATCCCTTTGCTGACAGAGGGACGCAGTCTAGACATACCCTTTCTGTCTAACCAGACCCGAAGAAGAGTCCTGTGTAGCTTGAGAGCATGTCTCTTTCAGCAAAAGAAGTGGGTCTGATAAACAAAATTCCATTCACTCCCTTGTTAATCTAACTAGTCCATTAGGCTCACCATAGAGTTATCTTGGAGATGTTTAAAGGCCTATAATAACTAGAAGCTCAGACTACATGGTCTGATGGTGCCTTTTGGCTTTAAACTCTATGAAATCTGGGTTACCTTGGGTTGGTGTTCACGGCCTACTGCACAAGTCTGCTAATACTGCTGCTGTAAGTTAACAACAGCATTTCCAACTCCCTTCGGGTATGTCTACACTATAGCTTTATTTTGTAATAGTTATTTTGAAATATCTTATTTTGAAATAATGCGTCTACACACAAAATGCATTCGAAATAGCTTTTTGCTATTTTGAAATAGCATGTCCACACTGGTTGGACGCTGAATTGCATTTAAGGCCAGCCAGAACTGGTTCCGGCAGGGCATCAGGTCAGACGTTACATTGTGGCCAGGACGGCCAGCAGGGCACCCTGGGAAAGGCTGGAGGCCCCTTATTCCGAAATAAGCGTCTATACAGCGTTTATTTTGAAATAGCAATTTTGAAATTGGTGCTATTTTTCATGGAATGAGGTTTACCAATTTCAAAATAAGCCCTCCTCTATTTTGAATTAATTTCAAAATAGCAGTTGGCTTGTGTAGACGCTAGGAAAGTTATTTCGAAATAACGGCTGTTATTTCGAAATAACTTTGCTGTGCAGACATACCCTTGCAGTATAAGGGACAGTTTCATATTTTGTTCATAGGTTCAGTAATAACTGAGTGTAACAGGGACTATTCTATATTTGGAGCTCACCACTGCAATTAATAGACTTCACAGCTGGCATCTTTCTCCTATTCTACACAGCTGCAGTTACTATGGCAGCAGTCCCTGATAGGCTGGTGGATGGGCCATTGAACCTCTTTCTCATCTCCTATTAATACTGCTCCAGGGACCACTCATACCTTATGCAATGGAGCAGCTCTCTTAACATCATTGTATAGTGTTGTGTACTGTTAAACAAGCGCACTCATTCCAAAGATGAGTGTATTTCAGTGGTGAGGGAAGGGGTCTGCCTATGTAGCCTTTGATTCCCTCACAAGACTGTTTTCAAAATTAATTATTATTTTAGAATTCTCCATGAGCCCCAGATGAAAGGTGTGATACAAATGAAAAGGGCTGTTATTACCCAAGTGGCTTACTACAGCACTAAGACATATATACTATTTATCATTTCATTATAACTCCTACAGTACTGGATAGGAGTACTGGGTAAATCAACCAATTATTAAAGTACACTAATTTATATGGCAAATTAAGAATAAATTAAATTAACTGATCATACAAATTAACTATTTTATTCATAAGATTAAAAGGAGTTAGTTAGGAACCAAATTAAAAAGTAGCCAATTTTAGGTTATTTGTGTAATTCAGAAAGAAAAATGTTTGAAAATGTTTTATTGTTAGGGTACGCTCTGTGTCAGTGCAACCTTGGAAAGAATTCAAAGCCACTGTAGATCTCATACTATGTCGTTATGTTAGCCATCTTGTGTTGCAAAGTTAGATCTGCTTAACAAACAGAAATGGGATAGGACAAAGGGATAGGTCAAATCAGTAGGAAACCCATGAAAGCAGACATACCTTAATTTGAGTAACAATACAATGTTTGCATCAAAGGCCTTTTGAAGCATATAATATCTTAACACTCAGCTAGACCTGAAGTGTTCTTAGAAAGTTTTCAGAAGGATTATGTAGGTTAAAAGGAAATATTTATAGGAGGTATTAATGTGCAGTTTTATATTGTGGATCAACATTTCAAACAGTTCCATTTTTTTAGAAAAGCATGGCTCACAAAAAATTAGCTAGACTGCTTATGAATAAAATTTTAAGCCTTTATTGATTTATTCTGTTAATTAACAGTGTTGGATTTATGGGTTATTAATAGTCTACTAAAGCAAACAATGAGCCACTTGATGAGAATAAAAGATATTTTCAGATTCTTACACTGTTAGACTACATTTAACTACTAACGGCAAGTCAGCCCAGGGAGACTGAATTTGGAAATTAAACATTCAAAGGCTAAAACATCCATAATCTAAGCCAAGAATTGGAGTAAGAGTATTACTCTGAGTGTTTGCAAGGCATCTAGAAGAATCTATTAATGGAAGGGAGGTGATCAGGAAGAAAAACAGGAGCAGAGCGGGGGGAAGGGGATGTCACTAAAAACGTCTAGTTCATCATGTGAAATATCTAGTCGTGTTAATGCTGAGCATCATTAGCCATCACAAAGGTTCTGTTCTCAGCCCCTGAGCCGTGGGTTAGGTTTTAGACATTGCCATTAATTATTGAAACACAGAAGGCTCAAAAACATCTTGATTCACTGGCAAACTGACAAACATATGGTGGGTTTTGCAAACCTCTAGGTTTCTGTTCAGAGAAGGAAAACATTAATTGCATACAAATTCTACTGGGAGTTCCAAAACCAGCCATCGTTAACATAGTTAGATGTCATATCTGGTAAGCTCAATGCATTTTAAAATCCATGTAACAAATTCGAACTTTTCCAGAGGCTTAGGACAACCAAAGTGCTTAAATGAAATAAACCCAAAGAACAACAATAGTGTATCAGACAGCTTTGCTTTTGATTGATAGTCTGGATGGCATGTATATTTACTGGCAATCAGAAGCTGTTGTCTGGAATGTGCTGTTTTGTGATGTTCCTGGGGTCCTACCAATACTACTTAAGACATTTGATTGTCAGGTTGACATTTGAAATCCCATGGATATCAAGACTCCAGATTGAAAATCATTGAACACAGAGTTTAATCATGATCAGCACTGGATCTTGGAGAACAGTTGTCTTCTCCTTTTTCCACTGCCATTTTCTTTCTCTTTCTTCATTGTAGTGTGCTATGGGGGCAACACAATGAGGCATGAGTATAAGAAATAAGTGACACAGTGAAACGGGCTGGCATTTAGGATATCTTCTGATATAAAAGGAGGCATGGGATCGTTAATTATCTTTTTCCTATGTTTCTTGTAAAACAAGGCACCAGTACTACTGCACCAAACACTACCCAATATCAAGATCTGATTCTGAGTATAGTAGTGACTCAAAGTGAGGAATGTTAATGATGCAACATTGTTCTGAATTCTCTTCATTAGGAAATAACTTAAGAATATGGGATTGCTTTCCCTTTTGTTTTGTTTTGTTGTTTTTCCTGGAAAATTCAGTGGGATTTTATTACCGGACAAAAAGGAAGATCATACTACAGGTTGGAACTCTATGGTCCAGATTTCAATAGTTTGACACCATCTGTGATCCAGCATCTCCGTGGGTACTCCAGGGCTGGAGCGCTCATGGAGAAAAGCCAGGACCTCTGGTCAGAGCTCTCCTGTCCTCCCAAATAGCCCATTTGTGGTGCTTAAGCTAAGTGGGGCAGAGAAGGAGCAGGGATGGGGGACAGTCAGGGGAAAAGGAAGGGTGGCTGTGGAGCCCCACAGTCTTGGAGCACTTCATCAACACTGTCTCTTCCACTGATTCTCTCCCCCCCCCCCATCCCTGTTTGGTCAAACCTGCCCCTTCTGCTGCTGCTGGAATAGGCCCCACAGCCAAGAGCAGCAGAGGGCTCAGAATTGACCAAGCAGGGACTGAGGAGAATGCTTGGGGTAAGAGACAGGATGGCTGCAGAGCCCTTTAGCCAGCAGCAGGGGGTAAGAGCACAGACTGGGGGCCAGGAGTGCAGCCTGGTGTCCACAGGACTTGGTGTGCTCCTAACCCACAGTCACAGGGCTCTGCAGGCACCCTGTCACCTTCCCCGAGCGCCCCCTCCCCACATTCCTCACTTGGCCAGTGCTGGCCCCTCTGTCCCTCTGGAGCATAGCCCCACAGCTGGTGACAGCAAAGGGGTCAGCATTGACCTCCCCTGCTCCAGCAGATTCCCTGGTTCAGGACCTGACTGGTCCCAAGGGTACCGGACCAGGGAGATACAGCTGGTATCAAAATTAAGAATTTACTGAAGTGAACCTGAGTTGCAACATCCTCAATTTAGAAAAAGTTAATAACTGTCCCTCTGGAGCATAGCCCCACAGCTGGTGACAGCAAAGGGGTCAGCATTGACCTCCCCTGCTCCAGCAGATTCCCTGGTTCAGGACCTGACTGGTCCCAAGGGTACCGGACCAGGGAGATACAGCTGGTATCAAAATTAAGAATTTACTGAAGTGAACCTGAGTTGCAACATCCTCAATTTAGAAAAAGTTAATAACCCAGCAGTCAATGGTTTGTAACATATTTAACTTTCTGTTAATTACTTTGTGAACCAAAGCGCACACAGATTATTACAACCTTCCACTCGCACCAACCTAATCTCTGAAATATTCCTGATGTTTTTCATAGCCACAGGAAAAAAGAGACAGTGTAAATGAGTCAAGCTCCATTGACTTCTTTCTACACGAGCTGAAAGATGATCCAGAATTTTTCATTTTTTTCTTTTATTAAAAAGGGAACTACAATATTTGACTTCTGCGGGACAAGGAACAGATCCTAAGTGAGGTAAATCATAGAATCATAGACTATTAGGACTGGAAGGGACCTCAAGAGGTCATTGAGTCCAGTCCCCTGCCCTCATGGCAGGACCAAATACTGTCTAGACCATCCCTGATAGACATTTATCTAACTTACTTTTAAATATCACCAGAGGTGGAGATTCCACAACCTCCTTGGGCAATTTATTTCAGTGTTTGACCACCCTAACAGTTAGGAACTTTTTCCTAATGTCCAACCTAAACCTCCATGGCTGCAGTTTAAGCCCATTGCTTCTTGTTCTATCCTCAAAGGCCAAGATGAACAAGATTTCTTCTTCCTCCTTATGACACCCTTTTAGATACCTGAAAACTGCGATCATGTCCCCCCTCAGTCTTCTCTTTTCCAAACTAAACAAACCCAATTCTTTCAGCCTTCCTTCATAGGTCATGTTCTCTAGACCTTGAATCATTCTTGTTGCTCTTCTCTGGACCCTCTCCAATTTCTCCACATCTTTCTTGAAATGCGGTGCCCAGAACTGGACACAATACTCCGACTGAGGCCTAACCAGCGCAGAGTAGAGTGGAAATGTCGATGTTCATGAGTCCCTTTGTTCTGAAATTACCTTAATCCAGTAACCCAGGATTAAAGAGGAAATGACATTTAGAATCACAGAATTATGGACATTCCAGTGTGGCAAAATTGGAATTCTTTGCATCAAATAATGAACACAATTTTCTATTACTGGGGTGGTCAAACTTACTGACCCTCTAAGCCACATTGGACAACCTTCAGAGGTTTGAGAGCCAGGGCTTATGTGCCAGGGCTCAGGGCTTCACCCCTGCTGGAAGTGCCTGCCAGGTGTTTGGGGTTTAGCCCCACTTCTGCTGAGCCCTCAACCCTGGCCGGAGTGCTAGTAAAGCTGAAGCTCTAAGGGTATGTCTACACTACCCCGCTAGTTTGAACTAGCGGGGTAATGTATGCATACCGCACTTGCTAATGAAGCCCGGGATTTGAATTTCCCGGGCTTCATTAGCATAAGCGGGGAGCCGCCATTTTTAAATCCCCGCTGCTTCGAACCCCGTGTACTACCGTTACTCCAACGTCCTTCCCTTCCCACTGGGAAGAAGCCTTATCCTACCATCCTGCTGCAGAGCAAAGGTCTAAATCTCCCTCACCCCAAGTCTGGTGGGTGGAGGATGGGTTGAGGTGCTCTACAAGCTGCACTTTAACTGTAAAAGGAGTCTGATCCATGTGGCATATGAGCTAGTTTGGCCACCCCTGTTATATCATGTAATGAACACATGATTAAATTTACCCGAGGGCAATTTATTTGTACTACATTCTAGACTATTACCCTGCCCAGTCTTGTTGAAAGTCTATACAGTCATGTAAGGCTATAATCTTTGAATGATGCTGCAGCCAAGCCCTATGGAAAAACGGGTTTTCTACATTCGTGGTGCCAGTTGGACTAGATGTGGGCCTGAAGCTTTCCACCTGACCACATGGCAACAGGAAACAAACTACATAAGAAAGACTTCAGCTCTGAACAGGAAAGATCAACACATGTTAGAAAGACTTGCAGAGATAAAGGGGGGGGGGCAGTAGGGAGTCTGCCTGTAATACTGACATACTTCAGACTCACAAAGAGGACATTTTTATTATTCAAAGATCTGTAGCACAAGTGCTTTTAAGAGTGAAGTGACTGTAATTAAGAAATTCCTTTGCTAAGCTTATATTCCTTGCTGTCCCGCCACATTCTTGCTGAAGGGACTAAACCAGAAGCCCAGCGTGCCCACAGGCTTTGTGGAGCTCTGAGAGACTACGCGTGAATGCCTGTGGATGGCGCGTGGGAGGTCTGAGGCTTTTTCTTCAAAGTCTAGGCTGGCAGGTCTGTGAAGTCTGAGGTCCTAAGAAAAGGTGTCAAACAAAAGAGCTGAGCCTGGGCATCTCAAAGCTTAACAGATCCAAAGCTAGTAATATTGAGAAGGTTCTGGTCAGATTCGGACACTGGATCCATTCACAAAAGACTGGTGTCCCTACAAAAGAACTGGAAGATCGCCTGTTTAATCTTCCAGTCCATCTGTCAGTGCCTTTTACCACATATTCCAGTTTAAAATGATTCCAGTGATAGAATTTCCACCTCACCTCTAGAAGAGTTAACTTCTACATTATTTTTGCCCCTAATGTATATTCATATACATTATCATATATGCCCCTGTTTAGGGATTATATCAAGTAGTGTATACAAACCTCACATTTCAGTGCTCTGAGAACAAAGAAAACTCACTGTGCTTGGGGGTGCATCACTAAGAGTTCTTTTCTGCAGTACTCTTTGAAACTCAGAATGCTGGGTGGTTTTCTTCTTATATCCTCCACATCACATTTTATGCGTCTAAATTTGAAAACCTAGCCCCAGCGTGCTTATAAAATGCCAGGTTATTGACAATAGTAGTGCTCATTTGCTGTGGCCAATTTAGCACTAATAAGCTGAAACTGCGCTACAGGGATTCTGCTGTATGGAACATAAACTCCTTTCCCTTCACTATTAAGGATACTTTCCTATAAAAGGATGGCAGCCTAATAGTTTCTTCTCCATGTTAGTAACCAATCTCTGTACATATTAGCGCTATTTTCCCCAACAGCTTTCACTGTAACACATATTAGCTCTGTTACAAGGCACTGAACCGACAAATACACAGTAGACAGGCTATTGAACTATTTTGCGAGCATACTGGGAATCCAGCATGTACGCATACTATGGTGGTTCTTAAGAAACATCCAGTACTGGAAAAAGTAGAATTTGCTGCCGTGAATCAGATCTACAGTGTGGGTTAGGCGTGGGGGTTTTGCGTTTGTTTGTTTCTTCCTATTATTTTAGAAAAAGTGGGGTCTATTTTAGGGTATCTTTCAGAAAAACTGAATCTTAGTCCTCCCTGCCCTCCAAATGGGGAACAGCAGCAGCAGCTGAGAAGAGCATTCGCCTCCCCCCAATTATTCACTCAACTCTGAAACCGGCACTCTGCAAATACTTCTCTCATTTGCTGGGTGGACATGCGTTATTGCTCCTCTTTCAGCCCTCCTTTCGCCTAGCACTGCATCCAATCAGCTATCCCATTTCACTCTTCTTTTTTCTTCTTTGTCCCTATCCCCACCTTTTATGTTTCTTTTTCTGTTTTCCCTTCTCTTACTCCAAGAATCTGTTCCTCACCCCCCCCTTCAAGCTTGAGTCCAAAAGTAACAAAATCATATTGCTAAAGCTACGTTAGTTTCATACATAAACATATAAACAAAGCTGTAAGGAAAAAGAGGCATATGGAATGAGTGTGACATGCTTTTTCTCATCCTGACCACTTTGCTAGTATGTACCTCCTCCCTTTGGATTCAGCTATTGAAACTAGTTTAAATCTATTGATTTCAGTGGCGCTGTGTGAATTTACACCAACTATAGATCTGGCTCCTGTTCTTCCTGTATGTGTTTGCAGTGCCTAGCAGTTAGCACAATGGGTCCGCTATCCTGAGCAGAGACTCTGAGCTAAGTAAAATAAATATATAATCTAATCATTAACAGTCTAGTAATGAAGTTGATCTCTCGCTCATTGCCTAATACACATGGATCCTCTTGTCTGCTTAGAATAACCACTCAGGGGTTATTTCATTCTGTAATAAAATGACTCTCATAATTCTACCCAGAATAAATCGACTTATGTGACATTATTAATGCCCTGAACATTCTGAGCAGACTTAACTAACCACAATCGCCAGACAGAAGATGGAAGACACCACTATCTCACTTCCTCAACTTCACAGGGTTTGTGATTTTAGGAATTAAAAACAAAGCTTATTAATGTTGTATTAATTAAACTTGTATTATAGCTGTGGTATCATTTCCCTTGTTTCCCTTGGCAGTAATCAAATTCCCTCATTGTGATAAACTACCTCGGCCTTCGGCCTCATAGCTTATCCACCTGAGAATTGAATTATTGCCTCATGAAAGAGAGGGTTGATTATATAATCACTTAATTAAATGCTATACTCAGTCATTGCTGAGCTACTCCTAAAATGCATTTGGCATCTCTATTAGTGGAGTTTAAACATCGGACGAATTTTTTTTTCAGATGTGCTACTTTAAAGGTTATTCATTACAATGTTCTTTTGTTTGTACTGCTTGATTATAATCCATGGTTCTGACTCACTCCCCCTCACAAAGGGAACGAAATGGCTTGCAGATTCTCACTGTTCCTGTCTGGCTTGCAGATTCTCACTGTTCTGTTTGTTTTGGATTTCCCCTCCTCCCCCTCTTTCTCTCTGTAAAAAGTTCCAGAGGTAAAGCACCCTCCTCGCTCATCTGTTAGGTAGCTCAACTCTGAGCAAGTCTCAAAGGCCTGATCCCAAATGCACTGAAGTTAACAGGAGTCTTTCAATGGGCTTTGGGTCAGGCCTTATACAGGAGAAAATCACATGTGCTATATCATGAGAGCAAACAGTGTTTGTTACAGCCCTGTGAGTTCTCTCAGGTGGATAGTCACTGGGCCTCTCTAGTAATCCAAACCTTGAGTGTTGTGTATTTTTAAACTGACTGAGTCTAAGTAGCATACAAACACTGGCTTTATTTTAGTCTGGTCTTTCAGGCACACACATGGGGCTGTGTCTAGACTGGCAAGGTTTTCCGCAAAAGCAGCTGCTTTTGTGGAAAAACTTGCCAGCTGTCTACACTGGCTGCTTGAATTTCCACAAGAACACTGACTTCCTACTGTCTGAAATAAGTGCTTCTTGCGGAAATACTATGCTGCTCCCATTCGGGCAAAAGGGTCAGTGTAGACAGCTCAGATTTGTTTTGTGCAAAGAAGCCCCGATCGCAAAAATGGCGATTGGGGCTTTTTTGCGGTAAAGCGCGTCTAGATTGGCATGGATGCTTTTCCGCAAAAAGTGCTTTTGCGGAAAAGCGTCCATGCCAATCTAGACGCTCTTTTCCGCAAATGCTTTTAATGGAAAACTTTTTCGTTAAAAGCATTTGTGGAAAATCATGGCAGTCTAGACATAGCTATGGGGTTCAGACTCCAATGGCTGGTACTTAGGGTGTGGGGCTGAGCTGCCATAGGCCCCAAGATGAGCATGGACCCCTCTAGTCTTCCCAGTAGCTGATGCACATATGCCCTCTTCAGAGCTACACCCACATGGGTACACCAGATCAGTGCCCTCCCTTCTCCCCTGTCCCCCCAGCGATTTTGTGACATTTAAGACAACAGAGACTTTGCAAAGGCACTTCTAAATCACACATACTTATCCACAAAACCCAAAAGATAGACAGATCTATGGAAACATTTCTAAAAATTGCCCACCTGCACATGAGACATTCCCTCATTTTTTCACCCTCACTGACAGGGCCCTTTTGATCTTAGTCAGTGTGCTACAGGGAGTCCAGGATTCTTCTGCGTCCTTGTCTCCTTCTGCCCAGTATCGTTTTCTAACATGTATTTTCCTTTCTTTTCCAACAAAAAAGTCCTCCTGCATGTAAGTATTGGTGTGAGACCTCATGTCCCATCCGCTTGCATAACCTCCCTTTGTTTCAGGTAGGAGTAGAGTCAGAATGAATCCAGATCAATTTCTGTGGTTCCAAACTGTGCACATCCCCTGCATTAGGTGTTGCAGTAGAAAAATGAAGGGAAAGAAAAACAGTCATCTGAGGAAGGAATGGGTAGCTGATCAGATAGTAACAAACTAAAGCAGTGGTCCTATTCGTTTGGCTGTAGAGGCCGTAGGGTTTCTATGGCTCAGTTTGCCTAAACCAAAAGACTTTCTACACTGTCATTGTGCAGCTTGAATTTTAAGCTTTGATCCCACCTATCAGCTGAGTTGTATGGAACAGGGTTTTTCACTTCCTCCATCATCACAAATGGAAGGCCACTCAGACTTGACATAATATATGCAAAATTAGGCCCAGACACAGCTCCTACTAAATTCACCGGACAAACAATGAGGAGTCCTGTGGCTTAAAGCCCAACTTATTTATTTGGGCATAAAATACCCAAATAACAGATGCATCTGACAAAGTGGTTTTTATCCACAAAAAAAGATGCCTAAATAAATGTTAGTCTTTAAGGTACCACAGGACTTCTCATGTTTTTCCAGATAGAGACTAACACGGCTAACTCTCAGAGACTTGAATTCACTGGGAATCTCTCAGGGTACGTCCACACTGAGGGCTAAAGTCGAGTTAAGATACAGAACTTCAGCTACATTAAGGCTACGTCTAGACTGGCCCCTATTCCGAAATAGCCATGCTAATTTCCAACTTTGGAATAGGGAAATCCGCGGGGGATTTAAATATCCCCCGCGGGATTTAAATAAACACGTCCGCCGCTTTTTTTCCAGCTTGGGGAAAAGCCGGAAAAAAGCGTCTAGACTGGCGCGATTCAGGTAGGAATAAGAGATCCTCCGGAAAAGGGCTTTATTCCAGAGGATCGCGCCAGTCTAGACGCTTTTTTCCGGCTTTTCCCCAAGCCGGAAAAAAAGCGGCGGACGTGTTTATTTAAATCCCGCGGGGGATATTTAAATCCCCCGCGGATTTCCCTATTCCAAAGTTGGAAATTAGCATGGCTATTTCGGAATAGGGGCCAGTCTAGACGTAGCCTAATTGTGTAGCTGAAGTCCAAGTAGCTTAACTCAGCTTTTGGTGCTGTCTACACTTAGGAATGTTAAATGGTATTTAATCAGCTAATCAACTAGATGATGGACTTTCCATCGACTCGTCGATTAGTTGATAAAGGGGGGAAACTGCAGAGCTGCAGTGGGGTTATCTTTCAGCTCCAGGAGCTAACCCGGCTGTGGCTCTGCCTTTTAAATGTATTAAGAGCTGCTAGGCTCGTAATAGATTTAAAAGGCTGAAGTGCACCGGGGGTGGGGAATGAGCATGAGCTGGAAATCAGATGTTCTGCCTTGCACCTGGTCCCTCCTGCTCACTTGTGCTTTTTAAATGCACTTTAAATGTGCTCTAGCTTTTTCGCCTGGTGGCTCTTAATACATTTAAAAAGCACAAGTGCAACAGGGGGGAAACGGGTGTGAACCGGGAATCAGCTGATTCCTGGCTTGCACCCAGTCCCCTGCTATGCCTCTGCCTCCCTTGCCCCCCGACCCGGGAGATGGTAGCAGCGGATTATTGGCTTTTAAGCCAGCTCCCTCCAGCACCGGTTCCTGCTCCCCCCCCCACCTTGATGCCTCTCTGTGAAAGACGCAGCAAGTGGGGGGAAGCAACTAGTCGAGTCACTAGTCAACTATCCGATAAGCATATACTTATTGGATAGTTGACTAGTTGCGTACATCCCTAGTGTACACAGCAAGAAGTCGAAGGAAAAACACTCTTCCTTTGACATCCTTTACTGCTCATGAAATGAGGGTTATAGAAGTCAGAGTAAGAAGCCTGTATTTTGAAATTATTTTGAAATAACGGGCTTGCTGAGTAAACGTGCACTCTGTTATGTTATTTTGAAATAAGCGTGCAGTGTAGACATAATCTCAGTTGATGCCAATGGGAGCTAGATAGATCACCAGCACCTTTGGCAATAGGGAAGGAGTAGCCTGGAAAACTTTCATGAGTGGATTGAGGCCATCTCCAATTTCACTGCCCTTAAAAAACAAACAAAAAACAAAAAACAGAAACAAAAAAAAAACAAGTTCCTTTACTATAGCTATTCACAGCCTGCTTAGCTGTACATGTATGAGAGATGAAAGGCTATAGTATTATTTAATCTACATTTTAACTCAAGTTGCCACTGACATTTGTTGGCACAGTTTAATCAACAATGGGCCAGATTAATCCACTGAAGTAACTGAAATTAGGCCTAGTACTTCTTGTTCTACTGACATCAATGAAAGCTTCTGTACATCAAGGGATAGTCTATGTGTGTGTGTGTGCAGGGAGGGAATAGGACTAGGAGAATAGACTCATCATTAAATCATGTTTACCAAAGTGAACTAATCATGTTCTGGCTTGGTATTGTAGCTCTCAGATCTGCTTCTTCCAGATCCCTGTGTTACATGTCAATAATTTCAACAGGATAGCTACTCTCATTTGTCAGTGTGTGCCTTTTTCCTCTTCAGGAAGGTCTGCTCTGGACGGTGTATCTTCTGTAAGCATGTGTTTGCAGTATAAATTACTTTTCAATCATATCTTTTCAATTCTAACAACAGTCCTTGTATTGAACCAGGTGCTTTCCCTAGTGGTTATTTATGTAGAGTTTAATGACTTGTCATCTGTCTATGCAGTCACTTCTCTGCCAAATACATAATAGAGAAATTTTCTAGTAGCATAAACTGCCAGTAATTTTGTTTCTTTAAAATCTAGGATTTTTTAAAATATAGTTGTACATAGCTCTCTTCTGCAGAACTTTAATAGTTAGCTTAGAACTGTGCAAGAAATTCTTTTGGAATCCTGAACCCACTTCAAATCAGGGAAGATTCAGACTCTGTTCCTTCCACCAACTTTGGGTTAGGGTTGGGAATTAGTTGCTGCTGATACGCAGCCTTTGCACCCACTCAGAACCACTCCACCATGAAGCTAGTTTAGCTAAAGGGGACAGTGACCTATTCTCTCATCCCCTTTGCTGCTTTATCATGGTGATAAAGGCCTGAAGGAAAGGGCACCAACTTATTGACAGAGTTTGCTGGACTATCTGGCAAGGATTGCCATACCCCTCCTCTTTACAAGTTCTTGGCTGTGCACGTGTACAAGATACATGTTTTCAGTCACATATCAGATTTTCAGCATCCAAATGACAATTGTCCCCATAGAAGTCACATTAACACATTTTAATTCTCTCTCTCATTGTTGGCACATACCATATGCAAAGCAATACACAAAATAAACAGTAAAGCAACCACCATGTTTGCCCAACCCACTAAGGTTTTTCTTAAGTGTGAGGTTGAAAGTCCTGTTCTGTATTTTACCTGAAAATGGCTTTTCCAGCAACAAAATGCCTCCTAACCAGTGTTGCCATAAATACCGATAAAAAGGACTTCAGTATAAATGCCACAGACACAATGACAAACGTTTCAACTGCTGTATTCCCTGCAAGTATCTGGCCAATATATGGACAACCATCTAAATAATATAAGTACATAATGGAAGAGAAAGAAAAAAGAGCAATAGTTATATTTAATTTGCATACATATATAAGCTTGGAATAACAATTCAAGAAATCCCTTATAAATGTAACTAAATGCATACATTTCATTTCCATTTTATGAATGTGCATGCATGTACGCATGTGAGCACACAGTCATGCATGAATGATATTATGTATAGCTAGCTCATCAGTCCATGAAATGAGTGGGTTTTTTTCACATTATCAGCATACCCTCAAACATGTCATCCTGATTATGGTTCCTCATTGGCAAAAGTATTTGTCCAGTACTACTAAACAGTCTTTCTCCAGGCACAAAGCATGTGGTATGAAATCTGATAAAAAGCTTAGGAGCTGCAGGTTATCTTTTCAAGCTGATCCTGTTCATGTGATAAACCACTTAGGAATTACATTCCAACCATTCTTAAGGAGTCAGATACAGCTGCCTCTTGATCAACAAAGCTATAGAAATGAATGTGGCAAAAATGGAGCATGCCCAGTGGGTGCAAGGGGTTTTCTGCCCCTCCCTGCAGGGATGCAGCTTTTGGGCGTATCTCACAATGCAGGAAACTGAGAGGTATGTATCTTCAGGCTCTGTCCTCATCCATCTTCCTAACGTCCACTGATTCACCCTTCCATTGTAGCTGGGTCTGGTTGCAGTGACCAATCAGAAGTGAAGGGGGCAGGGCTGCCACTCTCCTGAACAGGTGTCAGTGCAGGGCCAGTAGAAAAAACAGTGGCAGATGGAACCCAGAGCTTGAATGCCCCCGCACCGTGGCAGTGGGTTCTGGGGTCCAACCTGAGTCTGGGATGGTTGGGAGGGCTGTGATTGCTTAAAAACACTAGTTTGAAAAAGCTGTTGCAGATTTAAAAAGCCACTTATGCTTTAAGTATCTTTAAAATGTGCTTAAATAAAAGTACTGGATACCAAATATTTTAAGTAGTTAAGTATAAGTGTGTTGAGTGATCAAAAATACATGAGTATATGCTCAAGTACAAAGGTATTTAAGCACATGAGAACACTGTTCCTAATACCATGTTGGGACACTGGTACAGTATTGACAGAGAGGTAGAGTATTACAATATTATTTCCTGCCTGACCCTTTGGACCCAGGTAACTATTAAAACAATGCTAGAGACTGGTAGGTCAGATACAATAGTACTCCACACTAACACCTTATGAGAAAAGCCCCTATTCATACCCAACCCCTCCTTAAGGTTTCCTGCATGGAGCTCCATGAGACCTTAATCCACCTCTTCATGCCATGCCATGTTAACCCTTAGAGGCTGATGGAGAATTCTAACTATTTCAGATAAGCTGTCAAACAGAAAATGAAATACCCTGGCCACTCGGTATCTGCGTGTGTGCCATGTCTGAGCCTTCCGTATGAGAATCACACACAGTTAGTGTGTGAGTTACAAAGGAGTGGAACCACTGGAATCAGAATATCTTCAACCCAATGAGGGAACATTCTTACTGTTCAGACAGCAGAGAAGACTGAGTTTAACCCAGTGAAATACCTTAAAGGCTGATTGTAAAATCAGGGGGATGGAGGTTAGAGACTGTCTTACATTCTGGTCTGAACAAGGAAAAATATTGACAAGTTTCAGAGGCAGTACTAGTCTCTCTCCATCAGAAGGAGGGTCAGCAAATGCTGAGATGTACGTTGAAGAACAGTGGCATAGTGTGAAAAAGTCTCTCATGTGCTGTAAGACAAAGGTTATTGATTTCCTGGGAAACTAGTAGATCAGATTAGTCTGGAATATGGAGGGAGTGAGACTAGCCAGGATTTGTTAACCTTCAGGGCACAATGCAAAGCCCACCTTTCTAATGCAACATTGTGGGAGGGCTGAGTGGCTGGGGAGTGCTAGGCTGGTGATACACATTTTCAGACTGGCAGTTTTATGCGAGGTAGTACCTGCAGTTGGTTGAACTTTATGGTTATGGACTACGGGGTGCACAGAGCTTGTGATAGGCATTATGTAAAAAGTCAAAATAATAAACACAAATATAACTTAGAATTATATGTGCATTTGTGAATTATCAAAAGTTGCTTCTTCTCTGGTCTGGTTCTGTGCTTATTTACATCAGTGTGAGTCAGAATTAATGCCCACTGAGTTCAGTGATGATACTTCAAGGGAAACCAGAGGCTGGCCCTACATCTCATTTCACAGCACCGTCTCTGTGCCCAGACTCATGAAGTCACAATGCTGTCCTTCATCCTTCTTGTTGCTTTCTAGAAAACAGATTCTGATTAAATAACTTAAAACCAAAGACTTCTTTTTCACTGTAAGAAGAGGAAGAGCATGCTCTTTCTATAGGAATGTCTACACTACGGGAAAAGGTCGAATTAAGATACGCAACTTCAGCTATGTTAATTGCATCGCTGAAGTACAAGTACCTTAATTCAGCTTTTGGCGCTGTCCACACTTCAGGAAGTCAAAGAGAGAACACTCTCCCTTCGACTTCTCTTACTTCTCATGGAAGCAGGACTGCTGGCATCAACCGAAGCACCCTCCTCACTTCAAATTAGCATGTCTGCACTAGACCCACTAATTCGAACCCTTGGAAGATGGACAGTGGCAGCTCTGATTTTCTCTGTAGTGTAGACATACCCTAAGGGACAGCTGGATCTCAACCACAAACATATATATATGTCACTGCATCACAAGCAGTGTCATTTCAAGCATACGTGTTTCTTTGTTTTGAAAAAGAAGGGGCAGCTTCAGGAAAGGAAAATAACTGCAATTTTTTAAAGTTCCAGGTGGTGGAGCTAATACATTGCCTGTGATAAGACAGTCAGACAAAACAATTCTTGTGAGGCTTGAAAGAGATCTGAGGAAATGTCCCTGCCAGAACTGCCCATGATTCCCTTTTACCGAATAAGGGATTGGAAACCGTTTGTGGAACTTTCCAAATAAGGTTTTGGGACAAAGAGTTAAATGTTTTTGATTGCTTCCTTCTGTGAATGTTACTTATCTTGTGTTGTGTTGGTAAATCTACAAGCAGCCTGCATGGATTATGGAATGACGTACATGGCATTATGCATTTTTGTAGACCTCGTTGCTATAGAACCCAACTCTTTCCTTCTAAGTCAATGGGAGTTTTGGATGCAAAAGGAATTCAGGCTGGAGCCTTTATTTGTTAAAAACATTATATGAAAATAATACAAATTTAATAATTAAACTGTCAGATGCTGGACATAATGATACCAAATTTTGAACAAAATTGCACTGAAAAAAATATTTTAAGAGACGAGTTTAAAGAAATTATATAGTAATAAAATTGGCAAGCTGCTTACAATCAACATGAACTCCTCGAATCTCTCCTTTAAAAAAAACAGGGCTATGGGTATCTACTTGTAAATGTCTGCAGCACAGACAGTTATGAACTAGGGAAGTTAAATGGAGAAATTCCCAGCAAATCAAGAGCACATTAAATCCTTAATCCTCCTCACTCTCTCTATATATTACAAAGATCCTCTGGGCCCTGTTGTTCACCGGGTGCTGCACTTTAAACACTTGCAAACAAAGAAATAAAAACTCAGCTTATGTGGACTCACCAAGGGCTAGATTCTGACTAGCCGAGGGCAGTTGTACAAGTGTGTGGTAGAATGAACTCTCCCCTCTTCCACTCAGTCCATGGTAGGAGATTGGCACAGTCATAGTCCTTGTGCTGCCTTGGGCAAAGGCTGCCCCAAGGAAGCACTTCCCTTGGCATTATTTTTTTGTTCAAAGAAAACCAGGAAGATGGACTGGTTGCCCTTCCAGGGGCAGGGGACCATGTGCTACGCACGTGAAAGGATGTAGCAAGGTCTCTGTGGTCCAAGTGTTTATAGTGCTCCAGGGCATATTGGGCCAGCTTCTCCGCTGGTGCCAACTGGCACTATCCCACACTGTTTCCATGGAGCCTATGCCAAGTTACACCCGCTGAGGATTCAGCCTGTTGTGCCTGCCTGAGGCAGCGCAGCTCCCCCATTCCCCCAGACTGCTGTTTGGCTCCACAACCACAGTCCAGCCCTTTGTAGATTGCTGAGAATTATCCGTGGAACTGCCGTATCCAGATCCTGTTTGAGGCTGGCATACAAATCCAGTCCAAATGTTTCTCCTCATTGTCTACCTCATTCTAAGCAAAATCACTGTCCGAGGGAGCCATCTGTCTAACACTCCTATGCAAATGGCTACAAAAGCACTCTCCTCCTGTCATTGTCCCAAGAGCCATGTCCCCCGGCAGTAGTGTGGGGGTAGAGGCAGCTACCATATCATGGGATTTTCAGAGCACCAGCTGAGATATCACATCAGAGTGGCAGCTCTCTGGAGGCAGCAGAGTCTGTTGTACCTGTTTACAATGTGGTTAGCTGTTATCAGGATTTATTTAGTAATTCAGGGAATGGAGACAGGATGGCTCTGGGGATTGGTTGTGGGATATAAGCCTTTCATCTCTAGGTCATCCAACAGCTGTTTAGTGGCCTACAGTGTGTGTGACATGAGTGATGGTCTGCATCCAGTACCTCAAAGACAAGTGTCCACAACACAAAAACCGCCTTCCCAATTAGCACTAATTGGCATTCCCATTGGCAACCACCTCGGAGAAGCCAGAAATGGAATGACCAGATATGGGGCTGGCTTTGCAATATATACTTATCTCTTAATTAAACTTGGTATTTATCTTGCAAATACATCTCAGAGTTCTGGGTTTGTAAAGGTCAAGTACTGAATCTTTTTGTGCCAATGCATTTCTTCAGGTTCAACACTGCAAAACACATGCACCGAGTGAGCGCAAGACTGCGTCATTTCCAGAGAGTTTACAGAGTGGATTGTCTCTGGTAGCTTTCCACCAATGCATTTCTAATTGAACAGATGCCCGTGCCTTTGAGCAACAAAGAAATGGGCTACCTTGCTTTGAAATCCACTGATGCGTGTGTAGGTAGTGAATTCAAGGTAAATTTTACAATAAAATCTGCAAAATAACTTGCCTTAAACATTTTGCAACTTTTTATTGTATATTAGCAGTGATGGGTTAGAAGGGATCTCAAGAGGTCATGAAGTCTGGCCCCCTTCACTGAGGCAGGACCAAGTAACCATCCCTCATAGATGTTTGTTCAACCTGTTAAAAACCACCAATAATGTGTATTCCACAACCTTGTTTGGAAGCCTATTCCAGCATTTAATTGTACTCACAGCCAGAAAGTTTTTCCTGCTATCTGACCCAAATCTCCCTTGCTGCCGATTAAGGCAATTACTTCTTCTCGTACCTGCAGTGGACAGATAGGGCAATTGATCCCTGTCTTTTTTATAATAGCCTTTAACATATTTGAAGACTTATCAAGTTCTCAGTCTTTTTTTGCTCAGGACTAAACATGCACTTTTTTTTATACCTTCCACATAGGCCAAGTTTTCTAAACCATTTATCATTTTTGTTGCTGTCCTCTGCTCTCCCATCTTTCCTAAAGTACAGCACCCAGAACAGCACACAATATGCCAGCTAAGGCCTCACCAGTGCGGTGTATAGTGGAACAATTACCTCCTGTGTTTTACATATGATCATCGTATTAATATATCTTTTTTGCAACTGAATCGCATTGTTGACTCCTATTCAATTTCTGACTTGCTATGTCTTTCAGATCCTTTTCAGGCATACTATCACCTAGCTAGTTATTCCCCATACTACAGGGTTTTTTCAAAAAAAGTGTCCATTTTTTGAAAACATTTCCTGTGTCTAGACTGCTGCTGAGTTCTTTCGAAAGTAAATCGAAAGAACGTGGCAGTTTTTTCAACCGCGGAAAACCTCATTTTACAAAGAATAATGCCTTTTTTCAAAGTGCTCTTTCAAAAAAAGGTGCCATGTAATTCAAACAGTGCTTTTTCGAAAGAGAGCATCCAGACTGCCTGGGTGCTCTCTTTCGAAAAAGTGGCTTGCTTTTTTGAAAGTACTGGTTATAGTCTAGACACTCGAAAAAGCCTCTTTCAAAAGAGGCTTGTAGTCTAGACGTACCCTAAATGTAGTATTTTGCACTTATCTTTGCTGAATTTCACTTTGTAGAATTCATACCAATTATCTAGTTTTCCAAGGTTGTTTTGAATTCCAAACCTGTCCTCTAAAGTGCATGGAACCCTTCCCAGCTCTGTGTCATCTGCAACTTTTATAAACATATTCTCCACTCAATTGTACAAGTCATTAATGAAAATATTGGATATTACTGCGCCCAAGACTGACCCTGTGGGACCCTAATAGTTACAGTTGTCCCATTTTGACAATGAATCATTGAAAAGTACTTTCCTTGTTTTTTTTCTCCCCATGTGCTAATGAAAGTAACTGGAGATTTTTCTTTTTAACTGCAAACTGAAAAATGTAGATTTTAGACATCCACAACTATTAAGAAATTTAGAGTGATTTTGGCCAACGATTTTAGTTAAAAAGTTTTTTTAATATCAAAATGGTTAAGTGCAGCATTTCTGATATGAAAAGTTTCAATTTTTCATTTTAAAAAGATGGTGGGTTTTTTTGAATTTCCCTAAACTTTATTTCATTATTTTTAAGAAAGAAAGAAAGAATTCATACAACTAAAAATTATTTTTCTACATTTTTGTTTTGCCAAGAAATTTGAAAAAAATCATTTGGGTTCACTTCCAAAATGATTTTCCTACACAATTTTTTGGTTCAGCCACTAAACCAAAAATAGGTTATTTGCCCAGCTCTGTTCACACATCTCTTGGTCTGTTATACCTTAGCACCCAGATTTCCTTCTGCGTCTTTTTGTCTATTAGATCCACATAATAATCACTTGGGCTATGTCTAGACTGCAGGCCTCTTTCGAAAGATCGCGTCTAGACTGCAGGCGGATCTTTCGAAAGAGAAATCCGCTTTTTCGAAAGAGAGCACCCAGCGAGTCTGGATGCTCTCTTTCGAAGACGGCCTCTTTACATTGAAGAACGCCTTCTTTCGAAAGACGAACTTTCGAAAGAAGGCGTTCTTCCTCGTAAATTGAGGTTTACCGCCATCGAAAGAAAAGCCGCGTTCTTTCGAAATAATTTCGAAAGAACGCGGCTTGAGTCTGGACGCAGGGGAAGTTCTTTCGAAAAAAGGCTACTTTTTTCGAAAGAACCCCTGAGTCTGGACACGGCCTTGGGGCCTGACAACAATGAGAATCTTGCCATTGACTTCAAATAACTTTGGAGCAGGCTCCTGTTAAAAAGAGGCCTATTTAGGTCTCAATACACTGAAATGTTTAAAAGCTTCAGAGGGGTAGCTGAGTTAGTTTGTAACTGTAAAAACTTAAAAAACAACAAATAGTCTAGCAACACCTTATGGGCTAACAAAACATGTAGATGGTATCATGAGCTCAAGAAGTGGGTTGCACCCACGAAAGCTCATGATGCCGTCTGTAGCCATCTGCTTTGTTAGTTTTTAAGGTGCTGCTAGACTATTCGTTACATTAAAAATGTATTAGTGTGAATCAGTGACTGCCCACTGATGGTCTTTATGTTCAAGCTTCAGTACTATGCTATTTGTGCTGATCCTGTCTTTGTCAAAAAAGCATTGTGTAAGTGAGGAGAGAGGCAGTATAGTAAAGTGTATGAGATTAGGATTTAGGAGGTCTTGATTTTATTCCCAGCTCTACCACTGACCTATTATGAGACCCGGTTTTAGTTGCTTCACCTCTTTATATCTCTGCTTCACCTCGCACACTTTGGCTTTCTTGTCTATATAGATAATGAGCACCTTTGTCCAGGGACGGTCTCTCACTTATGTATTTGCAAGGTGCCTAGCACAACTGCATCCCAATCTCAGCTGGGCCCTGAGAAGGTCCTACTATAACACAAATAATAATAGTATTGTTTTTAATATTAGTTCTGTTTTCTTTTAACTGTTCTCAAAACACATGAAAATATATTTCAAATTAATCCTATAATTATCACTAATAATAATCTTAAACTTTCATATGGTTGTGGTTACGGAATTTCCTTAGTTCATGGCAGGGGGAAAATTGCAGAAGAGAAAAGGCGTTTTAGACCCATTAAAATAGGATAGAAAAAATATTACCAGATGAGAAATTATTCAAAATACCGTGAGTTCAATCCCCTCTCAGAGGTTCTTCGATAAGGCACACTTTTTTGCTTCTTTTCCTGAAAAAAGTTGCGTATAGTAATCTCTCTAGTTTCCAAGGAAATGATTGTTGCTTGAAGTCAACAATAGAAAAAAAATGGTATTTAGTATGTGAAAGTACTTTAGAAAAGTGAAATACAACTTGAGCTGTGGTGGTTAAAAAACAAACAAAACAAAACAAAACAAAACAGCAATTTGTTTGTGTAACTGTTGCTCAGCTACCATACTGCAACATTCCAACAAAGACACCCCTTTGATCTTACTTACAGGAATGTTGTTTTATATCTTTAATAAATAACATTGCCATGTCATTGGTAGAGAATGGTTTTCCAGTGCAGAAAAGGATTGGTGGACAGGAAAAGTCTTAGGTGAGAGACCACCCACTTGCCCATCCATGCATTATTTGGCATCCTTATACATAGGGAATCTTGGTTGAAGGGGAGCAAAGTTTCCAGTCAAATTAACTAAGTGCCAGATATTTTTATTCAAACTAGTTCCTTTGACTACAGTGGGACTATTTATAGTGAATGTGACCATCTGGCCCTAGTCTATCTAGCACATATACAGATACGATGGACCTGTTTTTCTGACATATTCCCGTTTACTTCAGATGGAGTTTTAGGAGCTCAGTTCTTTTGCAATTCAAGCCTCTCTGCATATTACTGATTCCATATTTTCAACTGCAGAACAGACTTCTTCACAAACTCTTCCTTATCTTTGACTGGTAGAATCACAGTATCATTTTGTACAGTACAGCCAGAAATGTAAATGATCATCTATTTATTTTTGAGACAGCACCGCCATGTGCAAGGCACAGCCCACACATAAAAGAAGTATAAGTTGGTGGGCTGTCTCTCATCAGCTCAGGAAGGAACCAGTGGCATACATGCCCAATTCCATTTCTGACCCTTGCCTCAAAGTAAAACTGATTTCTTACACACAAGAACAAAGTAATTCCCCGACCAATGCAATCCCAAATGCTTTTCCCTTGCTTCTCCCTGTCCCCTTCCCTAGAAAAAGGCAACATCCCTCCCTTAAATTCCCTGCAGGGTCATGTGACTTGAAGATAGCCTTAACCCTTTCCTCACTATTTTACCCCAACACAAATATGAGAGATTTCCTGCTCGCCCCAAAAAAACCCTAGACTATTTAGAAAGACAAACACAGATGAAAAGTGTGATTAAGGAGTACAGGCAGTCCCCGGGTTAC